AAAGCAGTAAAGTGATACGAGACTGAGAACTCTTTCATGAATTTATTCAACCTGATTATCAAACACCGAAATCAACTAAATTTTTCGTCTACAAATATCAAAAGTTACCGTATGAATGGGCGCAAAATCGTTCGAAAGTATACAACAAGAGCTCCTGCCCAGATATTGAATTCAATAGGAGCAAACTGAAATATGCATACTGACAAACAATATTGCTCAACAAATCACCAAACAGTAAAACTCTTTTAACCTGTTTACTACGAGTAAATTGGTAAGTACCTTTCTGAGTTGTATATCTGAAAGAACTGAGCTCATTGGTCACCATATAAAATCCCAGACTAGCGAACATTGCACAGAAGCACTGGTTAGCTATATGTCTGACCAAGCGCCAAAGCTCATTCAATCTGATTTAACATAAGAATAAGTAAATAAATGAGTTAGAAAACAGACAATATTTTTCATCCAAAAGCATTCTCAAAATTATACCTATTTACCATTGAAAAGAAACTGACATAAGCTGGTAACCTGTTAGGGTGTGTTTGTATATCAAAAAACTCAATTTCTAACTCAACTTTAACTCAACTTCACTATCCTCGATATTATCAATATAATTAAATAATACCAACCAATCATTTTTACACATCACATCAACTCTAATTTACTATTCATTTACTTATATAATTTTAACTAACTATCACTTCACATCATTTTTCTCCTACTTTTACATCAAATCAACTTTAATTATTTTATTTAAATATTATTTTAATATAAAATCAAAATCTCACTAACAACTAACCACACCACTTTTTCCAAAATTAACTATACTCATTTTGAATGGATATATTTGCATACAAACACGCCCTAAGGATTCACCATGCCCTTACCATAACCAAAAAAATTCACTCTTCTGCAGATGAATTCAACTCCAAGCTCATCTATTTATAAATACTCCACATGTAACTGGGAAAGAACCTTCAAACAATCCAAGATTAAGATAAGCCAAGAAGTAAACCAATTCAAACTTACAAGGAGTCCCCGTGGTTAGATTTTGTGCAGACTCGATAACCAGTATTCACGAAAAACACCGCCTAAATATTATTTTTCTCTATCTTCATCATTTTCAAATCTCTTGCTCCACAATCCAAGAACCTTGACATCCCACACAATCTTAGATATATTCTCCTGAGGCAAACACAGGCCTTCCCGTTTAACCGACTTACTCAGCTCACAAAAGAATCTAGCATCCTGTAACTTAATATACTCCTGCAGAAGCTTCTCGTGATCCGGAACCCAATTCCTCGAAAAAGGAGTGTAATCACAAGACGGGATAAAAGACATACGAGAAAACCGAACACCCTCGATAGCATCCACAAGCCCCATTCGCAAAAGATCCGAATACTCAGGGGCAGAATTATTACTGCTTTCCCTCAATGAATGGCTGAGATCACGTGCGGCAATCTTATACACTTTCGCACGGGATTTCAGCCTATATCTAGCGGCGTATAATTTAGCCAACGAGCTACGCACAACATAAGCACAAAACCCAACAATTTTCTTCCGGTTATCTGCGTACCTGTACCAATCGGCCATGGTTTCGAGTAATTTGTTCATCTGAGCATTTGTGTGGGCTTGGCCCGAATAGAGCATTGGAGTACAAGGAAGAGGCTCCGGATCCTTATCGCCCTTCACGAAAGAAAGTCGCCTGAAGCGACGAATACACTGCTGCAAGCTAGCGGTGACCGAAAGCAAGGTCCCCACGCCTTTCTCGCTCACGATTTTTCCACCTGTCGAGGTGTACCTGATAGGAGTGCACAAAATTCGATTAATCGAGCCAAAGAGCCAGAAAACCGAAAATTCTGTTTGGACTGAAACTGAATATTTGGTTTGGTTTTCGTTTTACATTTTGTTAAAATTTCGGTTTTTGGTTCGGTTTGGATAATAGTGATCGGTTAAGTTAACCGAACCGAACCAAAAACTGATTTCTACATAAATGTATATATAATTTATTTACATGTATAAGTTATAAAATCATTAATTTGCTCCATATGATTGATGATTTTCGAGCGACCCTTAAAATGGCTCAAGCATTATTTTGCACTCGAGATTGCCTTCGTCATAGTTCCAAGACATGGTTCAGGTATGAAATCTTCCTTAGGGGGAGATTTGGAAGTTATTGAAAACATTAATTAAACGAGGTGATAAAAAAACCAAACTTTTTGGTTCGGATAAAAAAAAATATCAAAGTTTTGGTTCGGTTAAAAATTCAGAATTTATTAAGAAGATTAGTTATTTATTGCGATTAACCGATAACCGAACCAAACCGACCGCTGCACTTTCAGTTAAAAAACCGAATCGAACCATAATTAAAACCAAATTTTCAGTTAGTACCTGAGGGTCGGGCGTATAACTCGTCGGCAAATGATGTGATCAAGAAACTGGATGCCTCTCGTGATGTGTTCGATCTCAACCTTGGAATTGTCCAGTCGGTACATGAATCTTTTGTCGCAAAACTCGATTATTTCTTTTCTTATACCGACAGCGTCCTCTCTGGGGCCTCTGATGCCGACGAGAAAATGGCCCGCGAACCGAATGTAGTCCATTTTCCGAGTTTTTTTCTCGCTTCCGCTCGTCGGCACAAACTCCGGCCAAGATGGATTGTGGCAGCCATCGTTTATCGAGTACTTCCAAATCGAGTCGGACTCAGAAGGCCGAAAAAATTCCACTATCTTTTCTTCCATCATGAAATCGAATTCGTTCAGGCAGATGTTCGTCAGCAAAGGACTGAGAATTCCACAGTAACCGTATTCGGGCACTTTTGCAGCCTCTTCAGGAGCAAAATCGAAGAATGTCCTGAGCCAATACGGGTCCGGCTTGGGCTCATTATCCAGCAATATCCTCTTCTTAGTCTGCCCCTTCTTTATCTTGTTCTTGCTCATTTTCTCACCATTATCTTCCACACGTTTCGGACTCTTTCCTGCTCCTCTCAGCCCCGATTTAATTAATTTCAGCACTTTCTTATCTTTCACTGACTTTTCAACACAATCCAGAATTATATTCGAATCTAAATTATCAACAATATCACTCAAATCACCTCTGATAAACCACAAGTACCCAGCAAAATTACTCCTGATTGTTCTAATAACAGTGTGAGGATTCCTACCAGGCCGAAAAGCGTGAGATTTTGCCGAAAAACGGGCCTCGAAAATCGGCTCGAGAATCATCAACAGAACCTCCTGAACTACCCGGTCCTGGAAAAGTGGCGCGCCGGACTCCATCATCGACCGGAGCTTGCTTCTCGAGAGTAGGTGGAGAGGAGTCTTGTCGTTCGGGCTGCGAATTAATTGCTGGGCTTTGGAATCCCATCTGAACTCGCCGCGAACGACGGCGTTTTGCAGGGAGAGGAGATCGGCGAGGGTGTGCGCGGGGATGGCGTTTCTGGGAGGGAAAGAGCCGGTGGCGTGAGCGCAGGCCCGCTGGTAGGCGAGCAGCCAGAGGTCGAGCTTCGAGAGGAAGCCGGTGAGGTTTTGGAAGGGTTTTTGTGTCTGGGAGAATGACTTCACCCAGAGGTCCGAGAGGACTTGAATTGGGTCTTCCTTGAGCAGGGAGTACGGGTCCTGCTTAGGCAGCGGTTGGGGGCGGTGGTTGAGGTGGTGGGAGAGGTTGCGGGTGGCGGTGTGGTAAATGCCGGCGAGGTGTTTGATTTTTGTTCTCAGTGACATAGTTTGGGTCACTGGTGAGAACGGTCTTTTACCCGACCCGTTATTTGTGAATTGTGTCACTTTTTAGCGGCTTTGGCGATAAGAAAGCATGTATTTGGCGCGTAATTTTCAGTACATTTTTTTCTCGTGGTGACGTCAGCTTAGATTTATTTATTTATTATTTATTTTTAGATTTAATAAAAGTTGTACAAATCGGGTATGAGATACTTATTAATAATTATAAATTAAAAAATGATCATTAAATAATATTTATAATTTATAAATATTAAATCAATATGTAATAAATTTTATTTATATTAATTTATTGAAAATGTTGTATGAAACTTAAATTGTGAAAAATTACATAAAATATATCTATTTAAGCATTTTAAATTTTTTAAACATTCAATTTTTTTTAGATTTAAGTGATTTGAAATCTTATGATTGGAGGTTGATTTTTCGTGTGTGATTTTGTATATGTATTTTGTTAAAATCTCAGTAAATATCAAAAAGTCTAAACAAATTAAAGTACTAATTAGATTGAAACTAGAGTTGTAGACGGGCCGAGCCAAGCTCGAATATTTGACAATCGCACTCGGCTCGAGCTTTTTTCGAGTTAGGCTCAAGCTTGCTCGATAAGTTTAATGAGCTGCATGTGAAGTTTGATTCGCTTGTTACATGTACATTTGAGCTCGAGCTTGAGCTCAGCTCATTTGATTATAATATACTTGTTAAGAGCTCGAAAATCCTGTTAATTAAAATTTTTGTTCTTTCTAGTAAATATTTCAAATGTACCTAGAATAAGAAAATTAGAAATAGGCAAAAATAATAACTGAATCACAATTCCAAAAAGTCCAAAACATAATTTTAAGTCCAATCATCCGAACATAAATACTACAAAACATAATTTTAAGTTCCATTCTCCAAACATAAATATTACAACACATTCCTTGAATAAAATCACAACCAAATTTGAGTACATATTGTCCAAATTGAGTACGACAGATTAAAAAGGTTTCAATGCCCATATTAATATAACTAGTAGGTCTACCACCTTGATTAAGCTTGAGGAAGTTCAACTTCATGATATGTTGATGATTCATAAACATCCATTGCATCCTACAAAAATAAAATAAACAAGTCACTATACTAAAAAATAGATATAAAAAAGTAAAAATTCTATTTTAAAAATAATATAATAATATTTATTACACTTCCATGAGGCCTGGTTTTCAACCCATAATGATTTCGGATCCAGCCATTACCCCAATATAGTACTTGCACAGTCTCGACCGTCAAAGAAGCTCGTCGATCATCAATTACTCGACCACCATCACTAAAGGTAGACTCGGATGCTACAATTGTCACATGCCATTTTTGATAATATTGGAAATCTCATACACATTTAAATCTAATTTTCAGGAGGGCTCTATTAATTTCACTCACATGCAACATGAATTTTTCCCTATTAGTGAGAACATTAACTCCAGGTTTCTTACCTCTTTGAACTTGAATTGAAGAAGAGCCATTTTTTTTTTTTCGCTTTACATGCTTCTTTGTTAGTTCTTCGGCACAAGATAAGATATGAGCATCAACATATTCATTATAAAGCTCGTACAGAAGCACAATAATTTTAGCGATTTTTTTCACAGCGTCTACTTCACCATAAATTATTTGAAAAACATGATGTTTAATAAGTAACATTTCACACCTCGGAGCTAGAATAGCACCAAATGACAACAACACATTATACTCTTCCCAATATTTATCGAATTTCAATGTCATGTCTGAGGCCATAGCCTTGATGTGCTCAGATTCACCTAAAACCTTTTCTTTTAAAAGCTCTTTAACCCTATAAAACTTCACAAGGAAAAGATTAGAAGTTGGATAGTCGGATTCCGAGATCATGTCAGTAATTTCATAAAATATACTAGAAATTTGCACGCTTCTTCCACTTCAGACCACTCGTATTCATCTCGAACACAACTAAACCCAAGTTCAATATCATTATGCCTCGAAAAAACATTCTTAAACTCTAAAGCCGAGGCCAACATGAGATATGTGTTATTCCATCTAGTTGTGCAATTGAAAATCAACTTTCTAGAGGGAATTTGCAATTGTTTCGCAATTTTTACAAATTGAATGAGGCGAGACTCTCAATTATTCAAGTACTAATCCCATATCTAACGACATCAACCACATTTCCAATGTTCATCAAACCATCCTTTACTAAAAGGTTAAGTCTCTTGATACACAAATCATTATAGGAAGCATCGTATTATTAAAAAAATATATATATATAGGAAGCATCGTCGACGGTTATGCTACAAGTTTTGTTCTGAATCTTCCAATCAATGGAACACTTAACAAAAGTGCAAAATACGTTTTTGCAACACCCAATCGGAATCAACAAAATTCCCCGTCACAACCGTATATTGATTTTTTTGACCAGATTTCACAAATCGGTAGTTATAGAAACCCGACTAGCACCGTTTAAGAGAAAAGTTAATCTCCAATACATTGAGCTATAAGTATACATTATATTTTTGGATTATTTATTTTGATCATGAAATGAAAATTTCAAAGGAAAACTATGGGCGCAAGCTGAGTCCTTGAGGTACAGCAGGACTCGTTGACTCGAAAACAAATCAAACATACAAAATTACTCCGACCAATCTACAAACAGCTCAAATCAAATCCAATCAAATCAATTGCATCGCAGTGTAGTTCTTCAGAACAATCTCCGCAGAGAATCAGAATTCGCGCATTTGAATTCTCTCAATTATCAAAAACAGTAATCTCATTCTCATCCACATAATCCCGCCGCAACGGAGGGGAGCTCCATGGTTGTGTTGTTCAAAAGCTCATCTGCAATTGCGATTTTGGGCTGCTAATCTACTACTCATCCACTGAGAGCATGTCGAAATCGCTGCCCTATTCGATGAAAGATGTACATTACGACAATGACAAGTTTCGCCAGCGATCGATATGCAGGGTTTGTGTTGTGCTTTTCCAGATCTTGCCCTTTTTTTTTTCTCTCTTTGTTGAAACTTTTCTGTTTGTTCAGTATATTTTCGCCAACATCTCGTATTGATCACAAGGGGGTTTTCAAGGGTTTTGAGTACCTCGGAAATTTAGCAAGACTTATGGCGAAAGAATGTATTTTTAGGTGATCCTGAGAAGGGTCCTTCAGAATATGTGATCAATTTCATCATAATTATATCTATTGTTTGCTTATGTGGCAGGAGGTTGATCTGGGCCTGTTTCCTTTTATCTTTCGTTGTTTATTGCTTGTTGAATTGTTATATGAGCTGAATTCAACCTACTATGTTTCTTTTTTTTCTTTCTTTTTTTTTTTCCAGGTGATCACGCAAAATATTTTAACCAATAATGTACAACGTGAATGTATAAAGTGCAGTACAGGGAAGTTTCTTGTGATTCTGATGATTTTTGGCATTACATACCTTATATTGACACACACAAGCGATAATCCTTCTCCCTTAAAAGGCATAGCCAAACATGTCGGGACCGAAGTAGGTAACAACTTCTTCACAGATGAAAAGGGCCGATTCAGAAGATTGTGGCCAAAGCCTCCTAGGCTTCCCCCTCGTTTATCACCCGATGAAATAATCAGTAGGAATAAGACTAGTCATGACAAGATAGATTCTGGGCCCGATTGGAAGTCCAGGCAAGAAAAGGTCAAACGAGCATTTATTCACGCATGGTCCGGTTATCGCAACTTCTCAATGGGATATGACGAGCTTATGCCCTTAAGCAAGAAGGGAATTGATGGCTTAGGTGGTTTAGGAGCCACCATTATAGATGCTCTCGACACGGCTTTGATAATGGGAATTGACGAAATTGCCCACGAAGCAGGCTCATGGATCGAGAAAAATCTCGCGGAGAAAATTAGCGAGAGAGGCCAAGTGAATCTATTCGAGACAACAATACGTGTTCTTGGAGGTCTATTGAGTGCTTATCATTTGAGTGGGGGTGAAAATGGTGGTAATGCTTCGACTGTAGAGCCTAATCCGGCTGTTTATCTCGATAATGCTAAGAAATTGGCTGATCGTCTCATAATCGCTTTCACATCGAGCCCGACTGCTATTCCCTTCAGCGATGTTGTTCTGAGGGACAGCACTGCACATCCTGCGCCTGATGGGTTAAGCAGCACGGCCGAAGTTTCTACTCTCCAGCTCGAGTTTAATTATCTGAGTGCTTTGACTGGCGATCGAAAGTACGCAGTTGAGTCTATGAAAGTTTTGGAACACATGAAGACTTTGCACAAAGTCAAAGGGCTGGTTCCTATATATATCAAGTAAGGATAAAAATTGGGTTTTGTGTTACTTTGTGTGGATGTCATGTACTTTTTACTGTCTAGCTTTTCCGGTTGCTAGTTTTTAGATATCTTGCTTTCGAGAAAAGTTATCCATCTTGGCAAACATGTGATTTTGGTTTAGAATTGGCTGCTTTATATTTTGCAATCCGTGTATAACGTCTGTGATGAGTGATCTGAGCATTAGTGCGATGTAAGATAACAGAATATGTGTTGCGTTATGATTTTGTACCATGCTATGTGCATCTCGAAGCTAGTTATGTATTTATTTATTTATTTTTTGCATGGATCGGATATGTTATAATTTAACATGTATGTAGTTGTGGGTGGATATTAAGAAAATATAAGTTGCATTGTGTCGCACTTATTTACTTCAAAACAGATATTGTTATAAATTACTTACCAATATATAACAACTGACTTCCTTCTTTATTGCAGCCCTCGTACTGGGGAGTTTAGTGGGGAAAATATTAGGCTTGGATCACGTGGCGATAGCTACTATGAGTACCTCATAAAAGTTTGGCTTCAAAATCTAGGAAGTAATTTGACTTATTTGCACGAGATGTACGAAGAGTCAATGAAAGGTGTCAAGGAACTTCTCGTCCGGAAAACTGTGCCCAATGGATTGGTTTTTGTAGGAGAATTGCCTTATGGCGCTCAAGGTGACTTCAGTCCGAAAATGGATCACTTGGTACGTTACTTCTTTGTTCGTTTGCCAACTATGGTTATTTTACAAGTAAGCTAATACGTTATCATTTCTAGGTTCATAATATTATTGTGTCAAGTGAAGTCATTTAGGGGATGCTTGGTTATAAAATATTTTGATTTTGTTTGGATTTTTTGGTTTGGTATTGTTAAAATTATGTGTGTGGATGAATAGTAAATTAAGGTTGATGTAATGTGTAAGAATACTTGATATTGATAATATTGAGTATAATGAGATTGAGTTAAAGTTGAGTTATATTTGAGTTAAAAGGAGTGATCGGTAAAAAATGATTGATTTTTTTTAGATAAATTTGTATCAAAGCATCCCCTTGTCCCCTTATAAATTATGCAGTTATAGCCCAACAATTTTTGCGCTGACATAGAAAAATTGCAGCTACCTTTGTTTAATACAATTTTCATTGACTGAACACTATTCCAAGATAATGCTGTGATGATTCATTCTGTGCAAAGCTATAGCTTTTTATCCGTTGTTTAGGTGTTAATAAGCAATTCAATCGTTTTTATTTTTTGCTTCCAAATAGAGGACAATTTTATTACTTTATTCTTTCTACACATACATAGGTATGTTTCCTCCCGGGCACTCTTGCTCTCGGTGCCACAAAGGGCATGCTGAAAGAAAAGGCAATGAGAGAGAACTTGCTCGATTTTGAAGATTTAGAAAATTTGAAACTTGCTGAAGATCTAACTAAGACATGTTACGAGATGTATTCAGTTACTTCAACTGGTCTTGCTCCAGAAATAGCGTACTTCAAGACCGAGGTGAACTCATTTTTTTTTTTTTTTTTTCATTGCATATAGTCATCTTATTTATTTTTCTGCTGTGGACCCGTTGTAAATTAAGAACCTAATTTTACCTTGAGCAGGGGCATAGTGAAGATGGCTCTGGTGGTGGGAATAAGAGTTCAATGTATGCTGAAGATATCATCATAAAACAAGCGGATCGTCATAATCTCTTACGCCCCGAAACTGTTGAGTCACTTTTCTATATGTTCCGCATCACCGAAGATCCCAAGTATGTACTTATCTATCGGAAATTATTGTTTAAGTTTAAATTATATTCCCTCCTATTCTTTTTATTTGTCATTTTGGCTTTATTCATCATTAATCAAATAAATGACGTTTTAGATCTTTTATACATATTTTTCCAGTGTTACCCTCTTTTAATTAATTAATTAATACATTAATTAATGAGTTTTCTCTCTTAAAAAAACATAAAAAAGCTTAAAAGAAAGAAATTAATTAATGTTAATTTTCTTTAAATAAGTCTCATATTGGCAATAAAAGTTTTTCTAAATTTATGTGTTAAAGCACAAAACGACATTTAAAAAGAATAGGAGGGAGTAATTAATTAATTACTTCTTTTAAGAAAGGAATGAACAATCAATAGTCTGGCTGTCTGAGATATCTGCATTTGCCAATTTGTGCTTATATTTTTATTCTTTTTCACTTGCGTTGAGTTCGAGCGTTGTCATTATATATGCAGATACCGTGAGTGGGGTTGGAAGATTTTCGAAGCATTCGAGGAACACACAAAGGTTGACTCGGGAGGTTACACTTCACTCAACGATGTAACTGTAGTTCCCCCACCCAAGAGAGACAAAATGGAGACTTTTTTCCTGGGCGAAACACTAAAGTATCTCTATTTATTGTTTGGCGATAGTAATGTCTTACCGTTAGACAAGTATGTATTCAACACAGAAGCTCATCCTTTTCCCATCCGAAGAAATGATGCTCTCACATGATAAAAATTCAAACTCGACTGAAATCATCCCGAATTTCACCAAAAGAAACAATTTTGGCTTGCTCACACGACATTTCTAAGGAAATCATTCCTCAAAGCGGGTGAAGTTTGGCGAACGAGTTAAAAAGTGCAGAAAGGCATTCGAATTTTTGCTATCTTGAAGCTTATTCTTCAATAATTCTTCTTTTCATTTACTTTATTGTGTACTAAAAGTTAATACAGTTAACATATTGGGATTTAAAGGCAGTGGAATGCTGAAAAATTCTGCCAATTTATTTACAGTTGACAGTGGAGTTATACAAAATTAGATACAATTTTTCCATTGTACTCTCAAAAGTTACATATCGTCTCATGATTCGACTGTTAGAAAATTAGAATGCCGGATGGTTTTTATTTTCATGGCTATGTTGTTATTTTATTCCAATCTTTTTTATTAGCTTTGCGTCATTATCTGTTTCTGCACGGGCTTGACATTAGAAACAAATGATCTCCATCTCTTACGACACTTATGTCGTCTATTTCTGCATCCTCTGCGTTTACTAACCTTGTAAGACTTTCGTCTCCAAATTTTTCACCTGCAGATTCACAAAGTGATGATCAGATAATAGTGATATACAGTACCAGGTTAAGTATTATCCTTTTTCTTTTTTGGGCCTTTCTTGAAATTTCTCTTCAAAGACTATCAAAAGTTAAAAATCATTCACTCTTTAAACTGTAAAAGCCATTGCAAGCTCTGTTTCGATTTTCGAAACTCAAAGCTACACATACCTGCTAATTTGAACAACTCTTCTAATGAATCAGGTAGAATGATGAGCTTTGGGAGCTGATTTTCTGCGTGTTTTCTCATTTGACACTTCACGTGAATCGTAACCCTCTTCTTTAATCCCGATTGCATTACTTGCACATTAGTTGGATTTTTGCAACTGCTCGAGCTGACATTTGTGGGTATTTTGTAATTGTTGGCTTCATGATCCATTATGAGGTCGTATAAGTTTAAATTCGGAATTTTTGCACCCATTTGGCGATTAATTGTTTCTTCATGCAGATTGCCATGATCTCTATCGAGCCAATTCTTGAGGATCAGATCAGGATCTTGGTGCTCCTCAATGTCGAAACCATTGTATAGTTTCAGTTTCTTGCAGAAAAAACAAAAAAAAAAAAGGTAACTAAGTATTTAATTATTTAGTTTTTGAGTTTTACCCAAAAGAAAAAAATGAACAGTTGCTAGATTTTACCAAGAAAAGATTGTTCATGACGATCCGCTTTTGTTCTGGGTTTGCATGAAGAATGTTTAGGAAAGTGTTCTTATTCAGCCTTAGTATTTGAGAAATTTCTGTCGTTCGGACCCCAAACGGCTGCGGTTTTCCGCATAAAACACCGATATCTCCAAAAATGTCACCGGCCGATCCTCTCTCCACGATCTGTGTTTTTTGCATTAGAGAACAAAAGGATTATGAGATGCTTTTGTAATAATATATCCTTCTATTTGTTTGAGATTAATGTAGATTTGACTAATGAGGTAGAAAATATTTTACCTGATGATGTCCATCTGTCTTCACAATAAAGTCCTGCCAAGAAAAAGATAATTTAGAAACTTAAGGCAGGAAAAGCTAATACAAACAATGATTAGGTTTTTTTTTGAAATTTTGTGTAATGTTACTGTATTAATTAAGCATCTAAACTTAGAGTAAGGCTGCTGTCAGACAAACCTAACGGTTGGACAATCATAATTTTAAACTGAAAGCGGATAAGTCACTGCATAAAAAAATTGCAAAAATACATTTTTAATTCTGTTGGTTTAATGTCATAGCAATTTTAGTCTTAAGGTTTCAACTTTTTGCATTTTGGTCCTATGATTTAATATGCGATTTCAGTCCTTTCAGGACTGAAAAAGCAACAAAATTTTAAATAACATGACTGAAATTGCAACAAAATTTTAAATTATAGGACTAATCGCTAATAAGAAAATCTATAAATTTGGAAATTTGTTGCAATTTCAGTCTTTAAAAGACTGAAATTGTAGCAATATTAAATCACGAGACCAAAAGGCGAAATGTTGGAATCATGGGAACTAAAAATGCTATGACGTTAAACCAACAGGACTAAAAATGCAATTTAGCCTAAAAGAATTCGTGCTGAACTTACCACTGCTCCTGAGACCAGAATATATGCATCCGTTGGAGCCTCATTCTGTAACAGCACGTCTTCTCTCGGGGGGAAGTACTCAGCTTCCATTTCTGAAAAAAAAAAAAAAAGCACGAAAAGTTTTATAACACTTGCATTTATGAGAAAAATTGTAAGTTTCTTTGGGAAAAAATTTCGGAAAAAAATTTACCAGCTGTAAGAGGAAATCCTGTGATGCTCCTTGAAAGAGATGGACATTTTGAACGACAGGGTAAAATAGGTAATGAGCGATACTTGAGCGAATGGCTTTCGGCAGGCCATTGATTGTCTCTTGCTGTTTTAACCCTTCTGTTTTGAATTTGAGACAGATGTGGGACAAAAGTTGGTCTTGTATTCTTGGGGGAAGCTGATTTCTTTTAGCAAATTCTGATGCTGCTCTAATGGAGTCTCTCTGCAGGGCCAAAATCAAAAGAATTGTCAAACTTTTTGTGCTCAAATGTTAAAGAGTTATCTGCGTGTGGTTTAATCGGAAGACGGGTTGATTAATCATAATTTTAGAAAAATATATATTGAGTTGCTTCAAAAGGTGTTAAGATATGAAGGGGTGGAAGAATGAAGCCTTCTTCAACTTGACAAAAAGGACTATAACTTTGAGACATAGAAAATACTTCTTAAAATATTATTCTTTTAGGAATACAGTTGAGAAGGGAACATATGCAGGCATATGTGATAGAATCTGGATTCATTTCTGTCAAAAAGCACAAAACTCCTACCACTGAACCAAAAGGTGCTGATTCACATTTTTAGTGTTAATAAGTCCATTAGTTGTTGTAGTAGAAGATTAACATACCATACACGATAAATATATTATTAAAAATTATGAGATGTTTGACACACGACTGGTGGGTAGTGTCGTAGTGCTGTTAAATTAAACGAGTCTGACTCGGCTCAGCTTGTTAAGGATCGAGTTCGGCTCGACTCGTTTAATTCGAGCTCATTTAAAGTTCGCTTGGCTAACGAGACGAGCTCGACTCGACTAAATAAGACTCGAAAAGATAATTTTTATATAATTTTTATAATTCGACTTGTTCAAGCTCGAAATCGGCTCGAACTTGGATCGTTATGAGTGGTAAACAAGTCGAACTCGGCTCGACTCGTTTACAAGCCTAGATAGTGGTTACATCTTAAAGAATATATGGACGTCTAACTTTTAAGTTATTAAATGAAGGGTATTTCTTTAATTGAGCAATGCTTTGAGTTACAACTCAAGTATAAATGTATTATTATTTAATTTTTTAATAATACATTACACTTGAGTTGTAATCAAGTTGTCATCCAAGTTGGCATAGTATCTCTCTGTAATTACGTGTAATGGACGTTGTTGTTTTTGTTGTAATCACAAACGACCTCAGCAAATCCCAATTCCCAACAGCCGAACTTTCGGTTCCACTAGATGAGCCACACAAATAATATGGTGGACCTTACCAAGTAAGGTTGACTTCGAAACCAAGATTGTGTTATATGTACAACCAAATTTGATGTATATTGAGATTTATACCAACTTCTTATTATAAATAAACTGCCATTATATTAAACAATGTTAATTATGAATAAAACATATATATAGAGTATATATAAGTTTGATTTATATTGATTAGCATATTAATTAATCTTTCTATTTCATCATTCAAATATTTTTAATTAATATTTTTACAACTCAACCATAGTGCATACCGAATATTATAACCTCGATAATCACGACATATATGTTTAGTAAATACAAATGAGGATTAGCATCGTGTTTAAGCATATGAGTAGAGAAAGAGAGAAAGAGAGCGCGTACGAATGTTCTGGTGCGGCTGGTCCAATGGACCACGAGGTTGGTCATGTTCCCGATGAGGTAGGCCGTGAGGCCCAAGTTGAAAAGCATATAGAAAATATCGAACAACATCTCCCGCGGATTCTCTGCGTGCAAGTCCCCGTAGCCTGTCGTCGTCAGTGTCACTATTGACCAATATATGGCCGTCACGTAACGGTCCCACAAGCTCATTTGCTTGAAACCCGGGTATACTGCCCCTATCCAAGTCCTCTCCGGCTCTGGATACCTGTCTGCGATTAGGTAGTTGAAGCACCCGGCGCAATGCACCGCAAATAGAGTAACCTGTGTATATATACACATTCGTTAAAGACAGACACAGCGCGCTTGACATTCGACAATTGGATATTAATCGAGATTGAATAAGTTAAATAGTCCGCTAAATATATAACCATTTTGTGTACAAGTATATGAATAATTAATCATTTTTACAATGTATAATTCAAGACATTGTTTGTGTGTTTAAGAAACAATTTTCAATAATAATTTGAGTGGAGAACAGGAGAAGTGTGAATAATATTGTTAATGTATTCTAGAAAATCAATTCTGAAATTTTGTAATAAATTAATTTTAAAATTCAAGATATTACTTGAAATAAAAATCACTTCTAGAAACTCTAGAAACGATTTGAGTAGAAAAGTGTGAAAGGGGTATTTTGGTGCTTTCTCATACCAAAATAGTTGAAAAACCATATTTATCTTTTTACAAAGCGAAATGGATATTACCGCTACATTAAATTACTCCAAAAAAAAAAAAAGAAAAAGAAATGGGACTAACGGATACGAGTTTAGTGCATCGAGTCCAAAAGTAATTGAACCGAATATCCTTCTCGAGACGCGCGAACAACGAGCTGACTCTCCTGAGTCGCCACAGCCGAAGCATGCTCAGCAGCTTGTACCCTAAGCCTCCATTGTTGTACGTGAAGAGGCGACTTAGGGACTGAAAAGGCACGGTCGAGCAGACATCGAAGGCAAACCATGTCGAGAGATACCTAAAAATTAAATAAATTCATGTTAATATTTTTTCAAGAGTAAAATAAATAAATAAATTTGAAAAAATTTACATTTTCATATTTGTTATTATAATTACCTAACTGCGATTTTCCTATGATCGTCGACCAGAAGGTACGACTCGTTGTCCAAATACGCGACGAAGAAAGTAAGAATTATGTCGACTGCGAAGAAAGTGTCAACAATGCAATTGGTTATGAAGAGGCCGTTTTGTTTGTACGGTAAGAATGCGAACTCGAATGGGCTGATCCAAGCTGAGTACACAACCATGAGAACTAGAAACATTTGCCATGCCCTGAAAAAATATTTAAAAAAAAATAAAAATAACAATTTTTCTTTTTTTAATTAAAATAATATATTTTTTAGAATAAAGGGATGGATAGAAAAAGAAAAATGGGGTGGGAATAATTATTGAGACCTGTAACGAGGATTGAATGGGGAAATAACGCGTTTTCGGAGCTTGGTGGCTCGGTTGATTCGAGCGCCTAATGAAGGAATGAGGTCGTTGGAGAAGAAGCCGCTTTGAGTCTCGGCAGACATGCGAAAATCCTCCACGCAAAAGCGTCGGAGGAAGTTTTTTGAATAAGAATATTGCATTTGGATTTTTTTTTTGTTTTTAAAAAAAAAATATATTTTGTTGTGTGTGGTTTGTGTTTGGAGAGGGAGTTTATATATATAGAGAGAGAAGCAGGGGAGTTTGGGAGGGATCAGGGATGCCCTGTTTTTTTTATTTTTTATTTTTAGCTCCTTTTTACTTTTCTTTGAAAGAAGTTTCTTTTATTTTTTTTTGTTTATTTTTTATTTTATCTTTTGTGCCTTTTGGACATGGCTCGTGAGTGTATTAAAGACAGATTATGCAGGTAACATGTGATTAATGGTGGTTGTGATACAAGGGT